AGAAGAAGTCTAATGACGGAGAAGTCAACTAGAAGTTGCTATATTTTCTCAACACAAGCCCATAGGAAGAAGGCTTGGCTCATTTGCACAAAGAAATGAGCGGCGACCCAAGCATCAAGCCCAATCTCCACTACAAGATACATCTCAACATGAATCCTAATTGTCCTCAAGATAAGTTCATGGATCAGGAATCCCAGCCCACGAATAAAAAGAGTGTCAGAATTGATGGTATAAGGATGTGATCTTGTTTATTGTTACGTGAATAAATGTTGTAATTTCATCTCATGCTAGTGTTCGTCTATGAAAATCTTGATGTTATTGCCTATGTATGAATGCTTTTAGTTTTGATGCTTATATGATGATCATTGATGTTTCTATAGTTTGAATGCTCCTTTATCATCGATGCTTATGATTCTATTGGATGCTACTATAATAATTGTGCTTAATATTACCTAGGTTGTCAAGAAATTACCATCTAGTGATACCCCATTGATGTTACATGAGTATAGAGGGAATGATCAACCATCTATGCCTCGAGTAGTATCAATGCTTGATTGTTAGATCATCGATGCTATAGACTATGGTTATGGTTCATAGAATTCCAAAATTAACTATATGTTATCCTAACTTCCTTGTTCTACATTGATTAAGTAATGGCATGAAGCGAAGGCATACATTAGCTAGTTAAATCTCTATCACAAGAGTAGCATGCATGGGTAGAGAGTGGCCTTAGAGGAAGTGATAGGGTGTTACAATTGATGAACCATCAATGCATGATATGAATGAGCCCTGGTATGCATGCTAATCTTTTAGTTTACTACCTTCTACAATAACATATCTTTACTTTTATGCATCTATAAATCGAAATTCCCTAAAAAAATTACTCTTCTTGATTGCTTGTTTGTTCAATGAAAACCCCTAAATGTCTTTATGATTTTTGTGTATGTCATGGATGGTTAGTGTGAGTAGTTATGCATTAGATGAACTTGAGGAATACGACCCTTAGGCTTCCTAGGATTTTATCACTGATACCACATCAGTCATCTCACATTTACTATTTGGTGACAAAAGTGTATTCTTTATATGAGCTACTGATTCACCAAGACACAACTTCTAACAATGGCCAAATGTATCCAATGAAATGGACTCAGTATAGAGGCACAAGTAATAAAAATATCAAATTCACGGGTCTCTTTAGTTAGTATTACTCAGCTTCAGTTCATTATCTAGCAAATCGAGTTAAGGTTTGATCAAATAAACTACTCTACAAGCTAAACTAGGTTAGACTACTAATTATTGGTTGGGAACTCATTTAGGTATGATTCCTCCTAGCCACTATCTGGATTAATGATCGACGATCTCTAACTTGATTCACTTTCATACAATGCGGAGAGCCCTTGACTAGACCTTGAATCTCGACTAAAGCAATAAAGACCCTCTTGAGTTGATTGCTTAGAGGGATGTATCTTTCTCTAGAACAACTGATCAAGGCATTCTACACTAGACTCCCTCTATTGAATAATGTTCTCAATCGATACATAGCAAGGAATCGATTCACTACTCATGCAATAAATCGCATACTATCGATTTATGGTGCTCTCTTGATCTAATAAGGTATTCCCTCTCATTGAAGCAAATCAGAATCAATAATCTTGACTAAAGTAGAATTGAACATCCAAACATGCATAGATTGAATATGAACTCAAGATAATCAAGTAGGTGTACTCATACAATCATCCAATAAAACAAACATAGCTAGGGTCTCTCAAAATCTAAGTGAAGGGAAGTTACTCCATATATATATATATATATATATATATGGCAAAGGCTAGCGTACGCCCGGGCGTACCTTAGTCTACCGTACGCCCGTTGAGTTTTACTATTTAGATCATGAATTAACCTCTCATGGCTTGGGTTAGAAAATTAGGGACTGGGGTTCACCCATTAAAGGTTAGGGTATAGTATCATGCCCCAAACTCCGATTAATTCATAATCTATCTAGCAAAACTCAATGGGGCGTACGCTAGGTTAGCGTGCGCCCGGGCATACGCTAGCCTGAACCATATATATATATATATATATATATATATATATATATATATATATATATATATATATATATATGTAGAGAGAGAGAGGGAGAGAGGAAAACCAAAACTGTAGCTGGCCAAAAATGGTTGTGTTCGCATGCCTGTGTTTCGGTCCAACCCGTGTTTTCGTCCATCCCATCATTTCGCAAGTCTCGCTCGGGGAGAAACACGTTTGGTGCCCTTGTTCTGCTCTTGCCTATGTTGCCATATTTTCTTGGATTCCTCTCGGATGTTGAAACATGGGGAATTATTGTAGAAACATGGTCATGTTTTGCTTTTCGTCCTACCCGTGTTTTACTCCTTGTTGTGGTCACTTCACTGTGAAACATGGCCTATGAATTGTGAGCGCACTTCTGATAGCTTGCTCGTGTTTTGTTTCTGCTTGACTCCAAGTCGCCAAACAGCCTCCAAATTACTCGAAACTTGCACCTGAGCTTTCTTTTACCTACTATGACCTGAAATGTGACAAAAAAGCACAACCTAGCATAAAATAGGCTAAATATTTAAGAACCCGATCTCAAATGACCAAGAAATGAGGGAGTAAATATGTGCAATTTAGGCATTATCAGCTACTAAGGAAAAATGTATGAAGCTAAGGGATATATTGAATATCAATGAGAGGGAATCAGGTTAGAAAGTAAACATGCACAAATCAAAGCTCACTTTCGGCCCAAACATTGATTCAACAAAGAGAATAGAGCTACACGATATCGTTGGAATGAAACAAGTTGATTATCATGCAAAAATATGGGGTTACCAACTGTTATATGAAGTGAAACAAAGTATATTTTTGGAATATTAGTTGGGTGAGAAAGAAAATCAAATTATGGAAGAGCAAAGAGGGTGTTGATTAAGGTTATAACTTAGGCGCAAGCCACCTGTACCATGTATGTTTTTCTAGTCCCAGATGGAGTCGTGGATGAAAAACAAAGTGCCATAGCGAGTTTCTGGTGGGGACACCAGAAAGAAGAATACCTTGGATGGCTTGAGAAAATGTGTGCATACCAAAATCATAGGGGGAATTGATCTTAGAGGCCTCTAAACTTCTAACTTTGCACTACTATGAAAATAAATCTGAAATTTAAATCACAATCCAGAATCCCTAGTAGCAAGAGTGTTAAAAGCCAAGTATTACTCTAATCTTGATATCCTTCATACCCAAGTAGGGAACAATCGTAGCTATGTACAGAGAATTTTAATGGCTGCCCAAGAATTAGTCAGAGAAGGAATTCGTTGGAGGATAGGGAATGAATCTAATGTGGAAAATGGGGAGACATGTGGATTCCAGAGGTTGAAGATGATCATTTCCTAGTCACCACCCCAGTATCGTGTTTGAGACTTAAAGCTCGAGTTACATAATTAAATGATCATGAGACAAGGACATGAAGGTATAATCAGCTTCAACTCCTTCTTAACCCTATTGACAGACAAAGAATCATGAGTATCCCTATCCAAGGCAAACAACCACAGACCAACAAGTATGGAGTTTGAAAAGATCGGGATTGTATACTACAAAGAGTATGGACTATGATTACTTGATTAGAGTGAGCCAAAGAATTATGACCCAGTGAACTGGAAAAGAGAATGGACTCTTTTTCATGACCCTCTAATCATAGTCAATACAACAGGCAATTGGCCCTTTTCCTTTTCCCTAGGGCCAATTGCTTGTCGTACCACTTGTGGAGAAAGAGGGTAAAGAGTTTGGAAGATTAGAGTGTGCCAAAGAACTATGATCCAGTGAAATGGAAATGAGTATGGACTCTTAACATTCCCCCAAAGGTCAGAATCTTCCTATGGAGGTTTTTGCATGATATACTACCTATGAGGAAGAACATCAAATCTAGGAAGAAGGATGCGCTTACTGAATGTCCATTATGAAATCTTGAAGAGACACACAAACATATCTTCCATGAGTGGTTTTGGGCAAGAAGAGTGTTGTAGCCGACACCGATGAAGGGACATCTCCCTGATATCATCGAAACGAATTGTCACGAGGCATTGCGGAAGCTGAACGAAACAAGGAATTCGTTGTTGTAAACAAGGCTAGTGGGATTGGAGTTGCGAGCCGAGGCCCAGAAAATTGGCTAGGTAGAATGAGCCTTTGCCAAAAGAGAGTGCAACCAAGTGGTACACACAAAGATCCCTACAATATGTCTTTGGAACGAATAAAATTTTGTATCGACAGACTGCCTATCTTTCGCTTTCTCATTTTACAAACAAATTGTAATACTATGATCAACTAATTAAAGCATATAGAGGATTAAAAATATTTTTTTGACTAGACTTAAAATTTTTGTATGATTTTACAGTAATTTGATTTGTAAGCTATAATATTACTCCCAAGTAGGGGCGGGCTGTTAATGATTCGAGCCGAGTCGAACTTTGCCATAGTTCAGGCTCGGCTCGCTAATATATTTCCAGGTTTGAGCTCGGCTCGTGTTCGTCACGAGCTTTAATATGCAAGTTCGAGCTCGGCTCGTTTATGAAAATGAAAGCTCGAGCTCGGCTCGCCAAATAAGTTTAACGAGCCCAAAATCGAGTTCAACACATAAAATGTTCATTTTAGCTCAAGATTGAGATAGAACTGAGCACAAAACTACATTCAAACCTATATCAAAGTCTAGCAAAACAAAACACAATATTTGTCCCAATTTCAATACATAAATTCCATGAATTCCAATATTTTATAATGCCAGGCCGTTTAATGAGCTTGTTCGCGAACTTTCGAGCTGAACATGATATGGCTCGAATTCGGCTCGTTTCGTTAATGAGCTTGTTCGCGAACCTACTCAATTAAAATGAATCAAGTCTCGAACGAGTTTTTCACCAGCCGGACGCCGAACCGTTCATGATCATGAACGGCTTGGTTTATTAACAGCACTACTCCCAAGTCCTCTCCTCTCTCTCAAAAAATTACTCCCAAGTCCTAAGGGCTAAGTCATAAGCTAGAATAATTAGAAGAAAACAATTTCAGAGTCCCCTGCCCCTCTCTTTCTCTTCCCCAACGCTCGCATGGATTTTGTAGCATATCTGGAAGAATCCCAGTTATCCCAAATTTCATAAACCCTAGATTCATAAAATCCCGGAATCAGAGAAGAACGAAGGAGCGAGCTCCCAATTTTAATCGTTCCGATCCAGACACGGCCGATTGTCTGAAAGAAAGAAGACAACTTTTTTCCAACTTCTCCTGCTCCTGCCCGTTTTGCATTTGGGTTTTTGGTGATTCGGAGTTCTATGCCGACTATGCATAGATCTGGAGCTGCCATGGCCTGGAATGTCTTCAAATTCTGTACTGCCTTGCGAGGTCTGGGTTCAATAATGATCTTGTTGGTTCTCGGTGTTGTCGGTGTCACTTACTATGCTGTCGTTTTGACCAATTACGGACCGGCTTTGTACGATGGTGGCCTCGACTCCCTTATCGCTCTCTTTGTCTTGATCCTATTCCATTGCTTGGTAAGATCTTCGAACGGACTCGAACAAAATTTTGTTCCTTTTCTCCTCTTTCGTTTGTTTAGTCCAAAGAAATAATATGCTTCAGATGGATTAAGTGGAGTTTTGGGGACCTTAAACTATGTTAGATCATAATTTCTTATAGATGATAAGCTCTTGAGGATATTCTAGTTAGTGCTGAAGTCGTTGGCTGTTTGTACTGCGATGGAAACAAACTGTAGGAGGGGTTTACGTTTCCTGTTGGTCTTATGAAAGTGAGATGGCTTAAGACGATGAATTGAAGCTTGCAGGAGTAGAGAAAGAGAGGAATGATAGTTTCTTAGAACCAGGAAGTAGACAGGGTACTTAGCAGCTTATCCCGCATATTGGAACTGAAACTTGGGTTGATGTTTTTGGCAGCTGATCATGCTGTTGTGGAGTTACTTTTCTGTTGTGTTAACTGATCCTGGTAGTGTACCTCCGAATTGGAGGCCTTCTACTGATGAGGAAAGAGGAGAAGCTGATCCATTGAACGGTCAAGAGTTTAATAGTGTGCAGACAGACCTACCTAAGCCTAGAGTACGGTACTGCAGGAAGTGCAACCAGCTGAAACCTCCTCGTTGCCACCATTGTTCTGTTTGTGAGTGGAAGATATATGAATTATGAATGATTTTGTTGATCTTTTGTAATTATAGTCACAATTGATGTTATACTTGTTTTTTCGTGTTTCCGTTTCAGGTGGAAGGTGTGTTTTGAAGATGGATCATCACTGTGTTTGGGTTGTAAATTGTGTTGGCGCATTAAATTACAAGTACTTCCTTTTGTTTTTGGTGAGCTTTTGCTTTTGTTAATTTTGACTATTACATTTTTCTTTATATAAGTTGGGATCATCAAGTATTCCTTGTTCCGAGGAATTCTAAGGAATTGCTGGTTAGGGATTTATTTTCAATTGTTATGTTCGATCGGTAAACAGAATTATTTGCTAGAAAGTAATTAAGTTGCAGTTCTTGTACATATTCATGGCAAGGGTGCTGTTTTATGTTGATATAGGTGCTGAATTATTTAGGAACGGACTCAATTGGTTTCTTCATGACATGTCTCATTTTTGTTTGGGATTAAGGTGCCTATGACAGTGCAGATTGGCCTTTTTGGTTATTATCAGACTGTTCAAGACTCAAACCAGGGACCATATTATTTCTTTATTTCACTTTACTGGATGGCTTATATGGATCCCTTGAAGTGTAATTCAGTGTCTTGACGTGACTCAGTTTTGTTTAGGATTAAGGTGCCTATCACAGTGCAGGTTGGCTTTTTTGGATATTATCAGTATTGTTCAAACTGGGGGCCATTTTATATCTTTATTTCACTTTATTGGATGGCTTAATTGACTACTTGAAATGTAATTCAGTGTCTTGGAAATTCATGGACTGTAAGTTGTATGTTGGTTGGCTCATTATGAGCCAGAAATCCTGTGAGGATTATCATGACAGACTTTCAGCTGTAACCACAGAGTATAAACTGAAAATTTTAACCGTATAAGTTGCATAGAAGCTTAGACCGTGGAAAGGGTTGTAATGGGATATAAACAGGGTCGAGTGGATTGATTGGGTGGTTATGTGAAAACTAATCATGTAGACGTCTGATTACTGTTTTGTCTGTGGCTGTAACTCATAGAAGACGGGTGTCCATTCTCTTCTTCTTTGGCCGGTGGTTTCATATTTCAATAACATAATTTGCTTAACTCATTGTTCTCCTAACTTTCCAGGTCTACACATTTCTGGAAACAAGCCTAGTGACTGTGTCTTTGCTACCACATTTCATTGCATTCTTCAGCGATGGAGAAATCCCTGGCACACCAGGCACTCTTGCGACCACATTTCTTGCTTTTGGTAGATTTACTCAGGCCTGTTTTCCCAACCATATGCAATTGTGAGGTATATGTTAAATTATTGATGTGCTTCTCTTGGCAGTTCTAAATCTGGCTTTTGCACTTAGTGTGATGGGATTCCTAATCATGCATTTATCTTTGGTGGCCGCTAATACCACGACAATTGAGGTAATTGTTTTCTATTTTATTTTTTCTTTGTGCTGTTTCACATGTATCTGAAATTGTAACGCTGAGATATTTGTCTACCTGTGCCATGAATATTGAGTTTGTTGAAATATTACAGATTCTTCTGTTTCTTACTAAAGAAATAGTTGATGCATATCTTCCACTTTTGTCCAATCTGGTTTCTTAGTGGTCTTTGTAATTTGTGACGAATCAAATCTGCATTTTTGATTCTATAAAGGAAGACCTATTTTGCCTGGAAACATTTTGTTGATTTTTATCGTCTTGTTATTTTTTGTCTTGATCAGGCATACGAGAAAAAAACCACACCGAAGTGGCGCTATGATCTGGGACGAAGGAGAAACTTCGAACAGGTTAGTCATTCCATCCGAAATTTAGTTATCTGCGTCCTTTTTGTTTTAAATCTGAGGAGGTACCCAGCCTGCCAGTCTCTCGATTGGTACTTGTTAGGCCCTGTTGAATATTGGTGGTTGTGTTGAACCCTCCAAAATAATCTCGCTTGTTGCATCATCCTTCAGGTTCTTGGCACAGATAAATGGTACTGGTTCATCCCAGCCTACTCGGATGAGGATTTAAGACGAATGCCTGCACTTCAAGGGCTCGAATACCCATCAAAGCCAGATTTCGATTCGGAGGAGTTCTAGGAACCAGCCTGCTCTTCTTCTTCTATATCCTTGGATATCAGGATCATGTTTTTCTTTTTGTAACAACAGATATGGAGCCCCACCAAGTGTTCCTAACCAGTGAACCACACAGGCAACAGCTCTATCCTAACCATTGTCCCATGGGTATCCTCCTGTAGAAACAACACGAAGAGAGGGAGAGAGCGAGAGCGAGAGCGAGAGAGCATTGTAGCACTTGTAAAGCTGACACGCAGAGCAACACACGACAAGTAGCGGCTGTTGACGGGGAGTGTAAGCTAAAGAGGAATGCAAAATTGTCGAAACGGGGCTGATTTTGCTGATACGCTGATGTAGAATGAATGTGTTGTACCATTCCTGGAAAGAAGTATACAAGTTTGTTTGTGGCCCTTTTTCTTGTGTGAATATTACATCTACTAGCTTCTGATCTTTCTTATTCATTTTGACATCTAGCCTCTCAACTCTCAAATCAGGGTCAACAAAATAGCGGTACGCAGGTGTGTTTAGCGATTTCCGGCAAGAGTAACGTACAATATGCTTTTGGGAACTTGGATGAATGATGGGTCTCTTGAACTTTGATTTCTAAAAGGAGTTGGTGGCGAGCTTATGAAATCCAAAACCATGGCTAGCTAGATGCTTGCTCACGTACCCTAGCTAGACGGTGGTAGCAGAGGAAACAAGGGCGAGTTTTCCGACAACCCTGAACGTAATAAAGAAACGGCTGTGCCCAGGAAAATAAATTGGCCTTCATCGCTGACACTATTCCACGTTTTATGGGGGTTTTTTTTTTTTGAAATGATATGAAGACTTGAGATCGTTGGGAAGTTGGGATTGTTGAGATGATAAAGTTAAGGGTTGGCTAAAGACGGTGGTGAATAGGGAATAAAGTAGTAGAACGCAAACATCGTCACTTGCTGGACACTAGTTGAGCCCTTACATTTCATGTGAGCTTTCTATTTTTGATGCTACATATATCATAAACTGATTACCTTCGATTCGACTATCTCAGAAGACATCTTTTGAGTTTTTCCTTGGTAATTGGTAAACCAGTAGTTTACGCCCATCTTAGTGCCTTTGGTTGGCTTGTTTATGGTAAGAACACTTGGAGGAAAAGTTTGTCGAAAGGGGGACAACTGACATTTTCTCGAGTTTTCGGCTTCTCCGAAAGAAACTCCGAGTTTATGATTTTTGTTCTCATAAAGTTTATACTTCTCGTGAGATATATTTTCCCAAGTGTATCTTCCTATTTAAAGTTGCTAGTCGTTTTGCATGTAGGGGGTCTTTGGAGAGTTTGCGCGAGTTGAATGTAGGGTAACAATTTTTTATCCAATCCCCAATTAAATTAAATTCAATCCAATTCATTCATTTAAATATTCAATTGATTCACTCCATTAAAATTAATCCATTGAAATCCAATCCATTTAATCTCAATCTAATTGGACTGGTGGATTCATAGAATGTTCACAAATTATAGTTTAGTATCTATATTTTTTGAATTTTTGAATTTTATCCCAAATTTTATTTTTAATAAAAAATATCATAGGAAAGTTACATTTTAGTACCTATCATTTTCATTATGACATTTTTAGTACCTAAACTTTTCAAAAATTTCATATTCGTACAATGTTTGAATGTCACTTAGCTTTATCAATCCAATCCACAGTCCATTTGATCCAAACCATGAAATCCACCAATCTATTTGATCGAAATCCATGAATCCACCAATTCATAAATCCAATCCACTGCCAACTCTGCTTACATGGGAGTTATGCTACACAAGCATCTGCCAAAATTTTAAAGCCTTAATTCTTCCACACAATAGGAGTTGTGGCTAATCACTCCATCGACAATAAGCTGGAGGATTCAACCGCCTTGATAGATGTAGAGCTTTAAGCCAGAAATTCTCCGTTGGTCGATGCTAGCACGGATAATGATGGTGATATTTCAAGGAGCTATTCGACTCCTCTCACAATCGCTAAGACTGAGCCTTTCGATGCTAGTATAGAGCAATTTAACTCAGACATGGTTTGTTATGAGGTAAATCTGCCTCATTCTTTGGATTGCAATCATGTCAGTTATCATCAATTCTTACACTCTTATTGTGCTTTCTTATGGCCCTTACCAAATTGGTTGAGCCGCGACATTTCTCCCAAGCCATACAACATGCTTGTTGGAGAAAATACACGCAGGAGGAGACAACGACATCAGAGGATAATGAGTCTTGGACATTAGAGTCACTACCACTAGGAAAGAGGGTTATAAATTTCAAATGGGTCTACAAGATGAAGTACAAACCAACTAGAACAATGGAAAGACATAAGGTAAGGCTAGTCACAAAGGATTTTGATCAGTTCAAGTACATGCCAGACATCCTGACAACTGTTGGAGTTGACACATCTCATTTTAGTGGGTTTCCCATGTAGCAAAGCCACACAATTACTCGTCTTAGTGGGGAATGAGTAAATGATCTTAGCTCATATCGCGACTTATTGGTCATCTCATCTATTTCATGCAAGCTTAGGGTGTCAGTCGAGTGCTTCATTATTTGTAGGAAGCTCCAGATTAGGGTATCTTCTTGCATGCTTCATGCCCACTTCATTTTACTACTTAATAGAGACATCGAGTGGGCAGGTTGTGAGACGACGAGGCATTCTACTACAGGTTACTATATTACTGATGGGGATGTGCTTGCTTCTTGGTGTGCCAAAGAAACAATGAGTCATGGTGGTGCCAATATAATCAAAATCGTGATTTTACGTAAAATAAAAAACTGAGGTAAGCAAACATAATAATATGATACAAATTAATATGAAGTAATTATTTTTTATGGAAAACTTAGCTCTTAAATGCACTCCAATTTCTATTGCAACCAAAGGTGTTGCAAGTCAAGCTGAGAATCCAAATAATAGTAAACTTTTGAAGCTAAGGAACATCATCCCCTAAATCACTCCACAAATATGCATGATGCTTTCTATCTAACAATTGCATTGCTTTATTAGAATTAAACATTCCCCTAGCATTGCAAAATTATGACAGTTGTTCCATGATCTTAAGTTTCTCTTGAGGATATCTTGCCAATCTTTCCATAGTTTCATTCAACCCCACTCTTAATTATTTATCATTAGGGTCGGATCAAAATCCTTTATCATGATGAACTTCAGGATTCAACCAATGAGAGGCAAAGTACAAAGGCCCAGGTTTGGGAGACAAGCAAATTCTTGTGAGGGGGATGGGGAACAAACAACAAGCTGATGTTGGATAAATGATGTTGGGTCGGGGGAAGTGAACTTGACCTTGGTTCATGCAAAACTAGATCTGACCAGCCTGATGTTGGATAAATTGAGTTGGACCTTGAAATCGTACAAAATCATAGATTTAAAAGACTTTACAGTTTTTAATCAAGATTTTATGGGATGCTAAGGTCAAAGATTTAGTAGTAAAATCAGGATCGAAACCCATAGGTAAGATCGTAAAATCGTAGAATTTTAAGATTAAAATCAAGATTTTGACTACTATGGGTTCGACTGCCAACTAAGGTAGGGTATAGGGCCATGGTTAGCCACCATAGTGAGATACTTTGGTTGATGTTTCTCTAGCAAGAGCTGTGGTTTTCGCAACATAGCCGCAACACATTGTTTTGTGATAATCAAGTCGTCCTTCACATTCCATATAATCTTGTATTCCATGAGTACACAAATCATTTGGAGATCAAGAGACCATAATCAGTTGGATTTTGGAGAGGTGTCCCCTTTGAAGGTTGGCACGTCATTGCATCTCATCGATATCTTCAAGAAGAATTTGGGAATGAAGCATTCTTAGTTTTTCTTCTATAAGCTTTGCATTTGTGGCCTTCACGCTCCAACTTGAGGGGGAGTATTAGACTTTGTTGATGATGGTGTTTGATTTTGGAAATTTTTGTAATTAACCTAATTTAACTCCTTACCATGAACGTTGTCAAAGGTTATAAAAGGAGTTAAGAAGCCAGAATCTAGATCTAACTCACAATCAACAAAAATAGCTATAGAATAATAAATTATAGAACTGGCTACTTTCTTGTTAGAATAAGGTCATCTCCACGAGATGACAAGCCGTGTAAATCAAAACGTTATTCTTTAGAGTATTCTTTTTATTGTTGTGGAACATAATTTTAGTGGATTCCAAAAAAACAAAAACATGTTGCACTTAAAAGGGGTGAAGGTGACTTGGGAGGCTTAAGTAAGCTGACATCAGAGAGATATGGAGCATTGATTAAAAGTAAAATAACATTTTTATTTTAATGATTGGATACCACTTTAAATTTGGGCCATTGAATCTTTTTCTCATAAGTGCATTGTTGTACACATTGTGGACGAGTCCAACAATATATGGAATGAGACGATCCATTTTGAGAACATGAGAGTATTGTGATGCTTGATGTCACTCTTCATTTTTCCAAGTTAAACAACCTTTGTATTTTTATGATCAACTTTATATTATGACAATGAACATTTATCTTTTCTAATGTCGAATTAAATTTGTGAAAATATGTAATAAGATTAATATAATGTTAGTGCTCTCCTTGCTCCCTACTCCCGCTTCATGAATTGATGACCCACATAAAAGATTAGTCTAAAAATAGTGAGAAAATGCAACTTATTACCATAAAGGCGGAAGCTCGAACAAGATTAAAGCATAAAGAAAAATAGACACTAGGTACTCTATAATCCATTTTTTTCATAAAAAGACACTTAAAGATGGAATTGAACAACAATTGTGTGTTCGTCGTTATGCTCTTGACCACATTATTATTATTGTCTCAGAAATGAAAACCAAGACTCTTGTCACAAAATTGATCAAAATTAAGCACCAAGTATAAAAGGCTAAAGAAGATGACAATATCTAATTTGGGACCTCCTTTAGTTGATTTTGATACGGGCACATTAGCAGAATTCATTTGCCAAACTTGAAGAGAAGTCTTAATACCAGCCTCTGTAGCATTGTTGAACAAAAACAACTTGGCATTCTCATTGATTGCTTTGGTTGGATAAATCCTTGATGTGATGACAGTCCTACCACCTTGAGCAAAACTCTCGACAATCGAATGATCAACCAAAATCCTCATTGAATACTTTTCACCTTCCAGTGTTGGTACATAACTCCCATATATTAGCTTATTGACGTCAGTGGCCAAAGAAGACCTGGACTGATCAGCACAGAAGAAAGTACTCAAAGTTCCATTCTTTGCTTTGACAATATAAAAATAAACTGGTGTCTGCTCAATCAAACTCTCTTCCGATAATACCAGAATGCCAAATGGTCCTAATGCGCCTCGATGGGCAGCCCCTTTACTCTCGGAACAACTAAATTCTTCATCGAAGGTTGTGCTATTTAGTACCACCTCTTTTTGTAGCTCGAATTCGGCAACAATGTCTAACTGTGAAGTTCCGAACTGGATGTCAAGGGGAGCAACCATCCCAGGCTTGAGCTCCACATCATTGAATTCTTGTTTCCTTAGTCTCAAACTTTCAACCTCTTCCACAGGCCATTGGATCAAATTAATCCCAGTCTTGATATCCATAGCAACTGTTCTTGGAAACCCTTGGAGTGAAGCCCATCCCTTCTTTACATCTGCAGCTTCGCTATCCATTTCCCCAACCCATCCCCATAGAACCCTCCTTTTCTTGATCGGATCATAAAATGTCTTGGCAGCATAAAACACACCATAGTCATACCTAATTCCAATCCCAACATCAATCTCGGGATTATCGGGAACCCATTCCCCTGTCTCCTCTTGGTAATTCCCCAATGCATAATAATCATGACGATCATCATCGAGGCTTGCCTTCAGGACGTGCTTCACGTCTGGACCATTGGCAGATGTGTCCAACCCATCAGAATGTGTTGTTGAAACAGGGTAAAAATCCACGCATTCCCACATTCCAGTTCCCTGAACACCATGGAGTGTAACATTCAACTGTTCGTAATGTATAAAATCCTCTGTGTCATAAATGAGAGCAATCCCTTTCCTGTGAATTTTAGATCCAATGCTAAACCTCCACTTCCCTGTCGAGGTCATCCAAGCCGTTGTTGGGTCACGAAAATCCTTCGGCCCGATTCCAGGGGGTGGGACTAGGACCGGGTTTCCGGAGTACTTAACCCAATCAAGTAGCAACGGGTCATCATGATTCGCGGGGTAAGCCAAACATTGCACCTGAACAGACTCGTTTGTAGAGCCGGTGTAGAGCATTGCAATCTTACCATCTACAAGGAATGTAGCTGATCCTGTCCAGACTCCGTTCACATCATACCATTGGTCTGCAATCATTGACAATGGAAGATGAGTCCAACGAATCAAGTCCTTGGAGACAGCATGGCCCCAGACAATGTCACCCCAAACAGCACCGTTTGGGTTGTACTGATAGAAGAAATGGTACCATCCTTTGTAAAATAAGGGACCATTAGGATCATTCATCCAATTATTTTTTGGCTGGAAATGGAAGGCTGTTCTCTGCCATGACAACATCATATCATTCCATTCATAATCTCTCGCCGTCAATTGTTGGTTAGACTTCTCGGACACACCCAATGGCTTCCCTCGAGAAATTGGGGGTTGCGTCAAGATCTTGTCTTCCTCGACAGGGATACTAGTGTGAGTTGATTTTTTATTTCCCATGGCCAACATCATACCAACCAGGATCAATCCAGTGAAAAGGGAAGACAAAAGTTTGTTGGAGTAGTTTCGTGTTGAGAATCGACGACCCAAATTGGTGGTATCATCACCAGGAATGGGAATATAGGCAGGATCTGCGACTGGAAGGATTGGGTTGCGTAGATCTGCCATCGAGACCTGGTAATGAGTCGAGTAAACTGCAAGGCGTTACTTGCAAATGGCATAAGATGTAATATTTATTTAATTAAAACTAAAGATCAAACATTTTGTATTATTTGTATTTAATTGAGTAAACTGCAAGGGATTGATGTTCTAACATTACTATGCTACTACTTGAATAGGTTGGAAGGAAACAAATAGACTCCAAATCATGAAATTAACAATGAGATTTGAGTTGATTTTAAATGTATCTAATTAAAGCCCTCCAAAATATGATTCTTTCTAAATAGTATAAGTTTCAAGGATTTCGTAAACAAGAAAGACATATAATACCACTTGATATCGAGTAATTGCAGGTAGCATGGACTGGAGTAATTGTTCTTACCGGATAAATCAATATGAATTGATTATTTAAATCATCATCTACATTGGAAAAACAAACTTATTGGACCAAGAACCTACCTTTTTCTTTATTGTTACGATCACGACCAAGAAGGAAGAATAGAATGATTATTTGCGGAAGTTAGTAAAGCGGTGATGTTTTCTTCTTTTCGGTTTGCTTCTTTTGAAGTAAAGTGTTGATGTTATTTCAAAATTGAGGGGTGATATATTATTGATGAAGAGACCAGGAATAACGCTCAACTCATGGTCATAATAATCCCAGCAATGTCCCAAATTCACTATTAAATCGAGATTTTCGCCATAGATGACACATTTAATTATATTCTAACCCAAACTAGATGGAAAAAAATATTTATTTCCACCGCGATATTGGCGGGCTCCCCTAAAACATTTACCAAAGAGTTTATTTTCTCTTTATTTTTCCATTTTAGTATTTTATGGCCTTTCAACTAGGTACTTAGTCAAAATCAATTTATTTTTTGAAGCATCCAAAGTAAATGTTGTGTGATTTGTTGATTCACTTGTTTCCAATTTTGATTTCCTCAAAATTCATGTATTACTACCCGTTAATTAATCACAATAACATATCTTAGGGGAAGCAGGTTATCAAATATTAAGATAATTAAAGATTGGCTTCAGTGTAAAGGACTTACACCAAATCTGCTTGAAAGTTTCTCTCACTATGCTTGAAGAAGAACTTTTCACTCTCTCTTCAAATTCAGCTCACTCTCCTTTATTTAGCTCCTGAGTGCACATATCACGATCTCACATCACGCATGTGAAGTAGGTAGTGATACCGTTATCTTGGTACAAAACACATCGTTTTATTAACAAACTCCATGGGTTACGTATTGACTTCATGGTTTGGATATTGTGATCTTTGCAACGCCTACGAGTCACAGGAAACCTCCTGGAAGTGTGTGGAATCCATAGTTTTCTTGTCCAATTCACGGTTTGTCGCCCGTAATAATAGCTAAAAAAACCGTGATCCTCGCACTTTTGTCAATTTTGCTCCCTTATTGCCCTCTTTTTCCACTTTCGATCCCGAAACCAAAGTTGCCTGCTAAGCTCTAAAACATGACACAACACGAGAAAACCTAGCATAAAATAGCTCCAAAGATGGTGCAAACCAAGTCAAAACGATGCAAGGAAACTATATAAAAGTGTGTAATTTATCCCGAATAAACCCCCCACACTTGAACGTTTGCTTGTCCCAAAGCAATATGCTCAAATCAGTACAATTTGTAGGGGGAAAAATAATGGTATGCACTAATGGTGCCTAAAAAATAATCGTAGTCGGGTAAATTTTATTTCCATCTCTTCGTGCCATGCACACTCTCAGTTGAGGACCTTGTCAACTAAGAAGGTCTAGACACTTCACGTGTGAGCTGGGGTACTCAAAGAAAACTTGTGAAAATACAAGGACTCCATGGTGATGCTCCCACTTTTCAAATGAGGACTCAATTTTTCGAGCCTCAACTTAAACTTGACCTACACGACACCACACTTTGCAAATTTGAAAATCAAGGCATCTCTTCCTCGTGACCAAGAGAGAAAGGGGCATTGCGTTCTCAATCTCAACCCCATGTGGGAAACATGATGGTTTGATTCATTGCCCCAGCACCACTTCCCAACTTGCACTCCATGTCTCAAAGACAGATGGATTTCCACACATGTCGGGTGAAAACGAGAGTCGAGGTCTCATGACTCACTTAAAGGCACACTATCTCCTCTCCATACAAGTCTGTGAGGAGGTGAGGTGTTTGGGGGATGGAAGGTAGTGAAAGATTATTGGAATGCTAGAAAGCTATCCGAACCCCAAACACATCCTCAATTGGCACTCTGAACAGAGAGAAGAGCCATTCGACGGCTCAACTCAAACACTATGTCGGTTGCCTCTCATGTCGGAACATCAATTTTCAAAATATTTTTTCAAATTGGAGCACCTTTTGCAACGCATTTTGGAGTACTAAATTGGGGATTCCTACACACGTGTCCTAACCTCCATAACAGACACTTTCACTCAACCGAGAGGAAATCGATGCGAAGTCACTCATTATCAAGAATTTTCATAGAACCACACTATTCCCTATAGTTCACACCATCATAATCATAAAACAATTCAAAGCACATTGAGCAAGATCATGCTATGTACAATTGTGATTGGAATCCCTTAAATTTTCAATTTCAAGCAACAATCTAGGTTCCAAAACACATCTCAATAATGGTTTCACTCCTTGTAGCTCTCACGCGTGAAGAGGAACCACGCAATTTCCTCCAACCTTTCAACGACCCAAGGTGGCGTACTGCCATGACTAAGGAGATTTTGGCCCTCGAGGCGAATGACACATGGGCTTTGGTGCATCTTCCACCTAGTAAATGAGTTATCCTGTCAAAGTGGTTGCACAAAATCAAGTACTACCCTGACGGTAGCATCGAGCGCTTTAAAGTGTGTTTGGTCGCTAAGGGCTATACGCATATCGAAGGCTTGGAATTTCATGATACATTTCCTCTGTTGCTAAAATGGTCATGGTTCAGTATCTTATTGTCGTGGCAGTAAGCAAAGGTTGGCATCTGAACCAACTCAACGTCAATAATGCCTTTCTCCATGGAGACCTTGATGAAGAAGTTTATATGGAAATTCCATAGGGATTTCAACAACCAGGAGACACACGAGTTTATCTCCTTCACAAGTCCCTCTACGACCTTAAATAGGCCTCTCAAAATTATATCAGAAATTCACTACTACTCTGGTGGAGTTTGGAATCGTTCGTCTCCTACGAATGTTGCTTTATTTATCTATCAGCGGGGATCACATTTGTGACCGCACTCATATACGTGGACGACGTGTTGTTTGCTGGGAATGATCTACCATTCATTTCCCTGGTCAAGCATTTCCTTGATGACAGTTTCAGTATCAAGGATCTTGGGCCCTTACGTTATTTTCTTCGCATCGAGGTTGCTCGGATAACCATTGGCGCTGTGCTCAGTTAGCGCAAGTATACTCTTGATATTTTGGAGGACGCTGGTGTTTAGGGTTCGCTCTCGAGTGCATTCCCTGTTAAGCAGAACCACCAGCTCACTCGTCCCTCTGAGGAGATCTTATCTGATCCGTTGCAGTATCGTCGACTAGTGGGTCTCCTATTATATCTTACCAGTACGTGGCCTGAAATTACCTATGTCGTGAACATTCTTAGCCGTTTTGTTCATGCTCCCAATCATATGCATTTGGATGTTGCTTTCCATGTGCTCATATATCTTAAGTCTTCTTCTGGCCAGAGTATTTTTCTACCGGCTGATAATCCTCTCCAACTCATCGCCTACTGCGACGCGAACTGGGGCGGGTGCAGATTACCAGGCGGCCCACCATAGAGTATTTCATCACTTTGGGTGGCACCCCCATTTCGTGGTGTATCAAGCAACGTGTTGTTGCTCGCTCAACTGCAGAAGCTGAGTATCGAGCCATGGCCAGTAATATTAGTGAGATCATATGGCTTTGTTGGTTGCTTGGTGAACTTGGTTTCCCACAGCATACATCGACTCCTCTGCGTTGTGACAACCAGGCCACTCTCCACATTGCTAATAACTCGGTCTTTCATGAGCGGACCAAACATGTGAAGATGGAATGCTACTTCGTCGTTCGTGAACGTGTGCAGGATGGTCATATCCTTCCTATTAAGGTCAGCTCCGAGCTCCAGCTTGCTGATCTCTTCACCAAAGGTCTTGGTGCCGATAGGTTTTGCTTTCTTCTCTCCAAACTACACGTTCGTGACCTTCACGCTCCAGCTTGCGGGGGAGTAACGGACCGAGGCTCACGTGATGACAAGGAGGACATGACGCTAGGCCCACATCCGTAGCATGCATTCCATGCAGCCGTATGGCTCGTATTTGATTCGGCCACTTATTCTCACGATATAACCCTAGTTGATATTGATGTAATAGGGCATATAATGGAGGCTTGTATTATCAAGTCGCTAAATCAATAAGAAATCGGAGTATTCTCCCATGGATGTATGCATCACACAATGTGAGGAAGAACCACGTAAAATCAAGTGTCTCTTTACTTTTTCATTACAATTTTACAACTTGTGTCCCCAATGATGATGTACTTGAAGAGATAAGAGCTGAAAATTATTCAAGGGAGAGGACTCTTCGACGATGATGAGGAGCTGAGAAGCGGCAAACAAAGTTTCTTTGAGGTTTTGGGCAAATGGATTGATTACGTTCCTTGATGGAGCTAGACGGGAAATGATGGAGAGGGAGGCGACGTCTAAAATTGGTGAAGGCGGCAGTGTGGTGGGTTCAAGATTGAGGGGATGAGGCGAAACGCCGCCGACAATGACATCGGGTGAACGACAGTCAGCTTTGTTCGGAGGCAACGGAGTCGCGGTGGCTTTTGGGAGTTTCGAATCTCCGAATAAATGGATCTGCTGAACATTGAACAGTTTAGGTTAGTGGATTAGTGGATTATTGATGGATCCATGACTCCATGGATTAATTGGATTTTGATCAATTTAAATGGATTGGATTCGATCGGATTGGTGGTTTGGATCATTATTGCCACCTCTAATAATAATAATAATAATAATAATAATAATAATAATAATAAT